GTTCGGTGGTGTGAGCATGAGAGAAGCAGAACTGGCGGAGGAAGGGCGCAAAGCAGGGGACGACGACGACGCCCACGCCGACGACGACGCCAACGACAACGACCGAGGAGCACGCACAGAGTGGATGCGCTGGTCCGAGGCATCGAAGACGTCCTCCACTGAGAAGTCCCGGGAGGAGGTGCTCCCGGAGCGGCCTCTGGCCGCAGGGGCCTCAGAGACTGGGAGGCTCATCAGTGAGGGGGCGGGGGGCGGGGGGGCGGGCGAGGTGGAATCCCAAAGGCAAAGACGAAAGGAGGAGCAGTGGCGGAGGGGCAGCGGGGGAGGAGGCGCGAGGGGGGAACGGGGGGTCAGGATGAGCAGAGCCGGGATCCCCCCGGCGCGGGGAGGGGCCTGGCCAAAAGGCGCGACGCGATCGGCGCGCCCGCGAAGCGCAGGTGCCAGCGTATTCACGTATCACGCCCCTCCGGCTCGGGGTGGTGCTTTGGGTGTGATGTGTGGCGTGATCCCGCCGCGGGCGAACATGTGCCCCACATTCCGGGCGCCAGTGCGTGAGGGGGGGGGGAGCGGCCGCCGCCGCCGCCGAGTCGACAACAGACGGCAGGCGTGCCTGCACGCAGGAGCCCCAGGCCCATCGGGGGGGGGGGGGGGGGCGGGGGGGGGGGGGCGGGGGGGCGGGGCCCCCGGGACGCGGATGCCCCCGCCAGGCCCCAATGGGCCCCCCCCCCCCCCCCCCCCCCTCGATCCGTCCCCTCAGAATCCATCCCATCCACACACAAACACACACGAGCGCGGTCCCCTGCACAGTGCCCGGGAAAACGGTCCTCTGCCGCTTTCCGGCCCACAAAATCCCCGACGCGTACTCTCCCTTCTCTCTCTCTCTCTCTCTCCCTCTGTCAGTATCTCTCCCCCTGGGCTCCTTCTGTCCATATGCCCTATTTCCCCTTCTCTCTCTCTCTCTTTCCCGCTGTGCATCCCTTGCCCTTAGTTCCCTTCCCCCCCGTTACACATTGAGCCCTGCCCGCTGTCGGGCTGTTCTTTCCCCTTTTCTTGCTTTCCTCGGCCCTCCTAAAAACCTCAGATCTAAAACCAGAAAAAAGATTTGTAAAACACAATTCCCCTTTCCCCCTTCCCTCCCTCCCTTCCCCCCCCCCCCCCCCCTCGCTCCATGCGCGAGGCCGGATGTGCACAACAGTCGCCACCGTCCTTTGCCAGGAGCCATAAAGAAAAAATAAAAAATAAAAAATATCCACATATCCCTCCCCATGCGTGTCGTGTACATGAACATACCCCACCAGTGTGAGCCGGATCATCCCCCTGGGCAGAAAATGGAACCCGCTTCGCATCAGGAGGGAAAGGAGGCGAAAGTAACGGAGAGCGAGAGCGGGGGCGCCACAGGGCCGGGATGTGACGAGGCGCTGACGGGGGGAGGGGGGGGATATTCCAGGCGGCTGTTCCTACATCTGCTTGGCCCGTGCCTCCAGCGCGCGTGGATGCGCAGGGGCGATCTAACTCCCCCCAGGGCCGGGTGAGATCGGCCTGAGCGGGACCGATCGAAGTGCTGCCCCGTTCGTTGGCAGTCGCTGGCCATGCAGTGCCCCAGGGGCCTGGAGCCAGAACGGTTCAGCACCACGCGCGCATGTGCGCCAGGCGACCCGGCTGTGGGGGGGGGGGGGGTAGCGGCAAGAGGCAGTCTCCGATGGCATCCTCGCACACGAGCGCCCATGTGCATGCGCTCATGCCGAAACACACACGCGCACACACACACCCACGCACACACACAGGCTCCACACAAGAGGCTGATCTGCCGGCCCCATGCCTGGGCCCGAGCTGGGGGTTCGCCACGCTCCTCCATCTCCTGCCCCGCCCCCGTCTGTCCTTTTTCCTCCCCCTCCCGCCCTCCTGACCCGGCCAGAAGGAAACCACACACACACCCGCACACACACACCCGCACACACACACTCGCACACACACACACTCGCACACACACACACAAACACACACACACACACACACACACACACCCTGGAACAGGTGACACCATGCTCTGCCGCACTGCTGTCCCGGATTTTAAGCCCGCCTCGGGCAGCCTCTTCGGGCAGAAGATTGCCATCGCCAGCATGTCGGCCGCCGCGCCTCCCCTGCCCGAGAAGAGCCAGCTCTTCAGTGCCAGCATCAGCCTCCTGCTGGCCGATGGTCCGGAGCTGACCCAGGTGTCCTACCAGACAGCCGCCTCGGAGGCGGACCTGGCCGACGCCGGGCGCTCGCTGGACATCGAGCTGGAGGCGGCCGCCGCGGCCGGTGGCTCGCGCTTCAAGAACGTCACCGCCGCGCGGATGAATGGCCCGGCAGCCCGGCGTGCCCCGGCCCCGATCCTTCGGCTGACGGCCCCGGGAGATGTGGTGGAGACGGTTGCCCCGGGGCTCTCGGCCTCCGGGGCCACGGACCTCTTCCTGGCGTCGGCCTCCTCCGGGCGGTACTTTCTCCTGCGCGCCAGCGACCCCTCCTGCCAGGCGGACGGGCCCGCCATGCCGGCCGAGGTCCTTTGGGAGGCGCAAATGCCGGCCAGCGGGTCCATGCTGCAGCATGGCTATTCCGGCGCCGGCAATTGGTCCGGCGTGAGTGCCGACTCGCGCAGCCTCTCCGGCTACCAGTCCGGCTCTGGCGGCCTGCGCCTGGCCCTCGGTCGCCATACCCAGCGCCAGGCCCTGGTGGTCGAGCACCGGCCTGGTGATGTGGCCAGCCCGCCGGCCGTTCTCCTGGACGCCCCCTGCTCCTCGCACCCGACGCACGTGGGCTTCCACTCTCTGCCCTCGGTGTCGGCCACCCATGACATGGTCGTCATCCTGGATGGCCCGGCTGTCAACATCTTCGACCTGCGCCAGGCCGAGCGCAACGGCTGCGCCGGCCGTGTGCATGTATGTTGTCCGCGCGCACGCACACACACACACACACACACAGCCAGCCATCGCCCCCACATGCCTATGCACATCACCATGGATGTACGGAAATAGTGCCGGGCCATGACTGACACCGTGTTCCCTCCCTCCGCCGGTGTCCCCCTCAGCTGCCCGGTGTTCGGTCCTTGTATGGCTGTGACTCGACCGCGCATGGTGGCGGCGCGCTGGCCGTCGCCGGCGATGATCGCACTGTCTACACCATCGACCCGCGCAAGTGGTCCTACGCTGCCGCCTGGCCGAACTCCCTGAAATACGAGGTCCGTACATTGGCCGGCCTGCTTGCCCGCTTGCCCGCTTTTCGCCCCCCCCCCCCTTCTGAGCAACATCGGCCGACTTGGCTGAGCCTGCCGCTGACCCGTCCCCGTGCTCCCCACCCCCAGGCCGGCCGCGTGCACTTCTCCCCCACCGCACCGATGCACGTTTACTCTGCGGGGCTCGGCGATTCCGAGGTGCGACAAATGCCTGGCGCGCCTGACCTTCGCCACGCCCTTGGGAATGGCATCACTGACAGCAGACCCTCCCCACACCTGGTCGAAAAAAAAAAACAACCCGACCCCATGTGTCCTGGCACAGCTCACCTTCTCCTCGATTGCCGGACCCCAGCGTGGCTCGCGGCCATCCACCCGTGTCGATGGTCGCTGGCTTGGTCTGGCTCAGGTGCGTCCCGCTCGGGCGGGTCCTTGCCCTCTTGTTTCATTTCCATCTTCCCCCCTCCTTCTCCCATCCTCCTCCCACACAAGTAGGCTGGGGCCCCTGGCTGACAGCGCCCTGCCACGAAGACCACCGCCCATGGAGACGACGTGGTCGTCGGCCTCACTGCTCAGGGCACACTGTACACGCTTCAGGGGGCGACCTGGGCCTTTGGCTACCAGCCGCCCACTGCCGCCACCGCTGCCACCAGCACCTCCAGCACTGCCGCCACCATGACCAACGAATAGACATGCCGGCTTGCCGTTTCCCACACACACACACACACACACACACACACACACACACACACACACCCCTCTGCCTCTTTTTCCCTCTCTTTGCCCTCCTCCCAGAGGCCCGAGACAGGAGCCGGGAGGGGCAAGGAGCGCATTCAGGACACTGGCCATATGTGCATCCCAATCGCACGATGCAGAGCCATGGCCATCCATCCCGGCAAAAGGCCCTCCCCAGCCGGCCCGTCCGGCGCCCCCATCCCGCGTGTGTAGTACCACATGTCCCGGGAACTTGGTTTTGGGTCCTTCTTCCCTGCCAGCCTGCCAGCCAGCCAGCCGGCGTGTCGTTCCCCATGCGGGAGAAGATGCGCATGGGGTAGGTTGCACCTGGCGGGGAGAGAGCTTGCCTCTGCACCTGGCGGGGAGAGAGCTTGCCTTTGCACACGGATGGGGGAAGGGTACACCCCTGGGGAAGGCGCTCCATTGAGGGGGGGGTGTATTGCTGGAAATGGCGCAGGGGGAGGGGGAACCAAGCCAGGGGGCAGGGGGGCTCAGGCGGAAAAGCCCCAAGTCCGGACAGTCCGGTCCTCGCCACAGCTGAGCAACATGCCCTGGCTCTCATTCCAGTCTACCCCGTACACGGGTGCAGCCTGGTGCGTCCGGAGGAGGCGCGGCTGAATGTCGGGCGAGACCCCGACACCGGGCCAGGCGCTCCCCCCGGGCCACAGACCCCCGGCATTGGTGGCCTGCTTGACCAGGGCGGACATGCCATGGCGGCCGGTGCTGGGCCCGCCGCCGGTGCCCAGCGCGCCGCTGCTTCCGGCGCCATTGCCGGTTCCGGTCTCCCAGAGGTGGACATTGCCATCCTCCGACCCGGATGCCAGCACCGATCGGCTGTGCGCCCAGGTGAGGCGGACGAAATGCTTGGTGGAGTTCTGCACGCCAGCCAGCCGGCGGCTCGAGTCCTACATACCACGGTCGAAGGGGAGTAGCGGCTAATGAGTGGCGAGAGGGGAGACAAATGGAGCGAGAAGAGCAGGGCGGGGGGGGGGGGATGGGGGGAAGGAGGGAGGAGGGAAGGAAGACAGCGAGGCGCCGAGGGGCGCACCGTGCGCAGGTCCCAGATCCGAATGATGCCATCACGCGAGAGGGCCGCCAGGTTGAGGGACCCCGGGCCGCCCAGCGAGACCGAGGTGATCTCGCCGAGAATGCGCGGGTCTTTGAGAACTTTGACACACCGGCCACTGCGCAGATCCCAGAACCGGATCGTCCGGTCCTTGGAGCTAGGACACAAAAAGGGAATCGGGGTCAGGGCCAGGCCGGGGGGGGGGGGGGGGCCGGGGCACGCCCGAGCGGGAAGGTGGGAACATCGGGGTGCGAGCGCGCGCTCCCTCCCGGGGGGGGGGGCAGTGTGCGATCGGCAAAGAGGCGGCCCAAGCACGCACCCACTGATGAGCAGGCTACCGGTCGGGGAGAAGGACAGCCCAGTGATGGACCCCGTGTGGCCGTAGAACTCCTGCGTGACGAGAGAGTGCCGGCCACCGGAGGCCGGGGCCGGATGGCCCGAGAGGTTCAACAGGCGGATGGTGTGGTCGTACCCGCCGACGGCCAGGTGCGTCTCGGCCGCCGGCTGGATGGCAATCGAGTACTGGTCGGCGGCCGAGACAGACCCACGCCCAACGAGGGAGGTGTGCGAATCGCCCGGATACAATCGGGGGGGCTGTGCGCCGGGGCACCGGCCACCGGGGGCATCAACCAACCCCGAGGCCACGTGCACGCTCAAAACCGGCTGCGTCGAGTCGCCGGCTGCCGACCAGAGCTAGATACCACGAGGAGCGGGCGTCAGTTGTGGCGAAGAGCGGCGAGAGAGGGGCGGGGGATGGGAGAGCATTGAGGCGGCCG